CATCACTATTACCATCCTTCTACTCCAGCATCAAAATGATAGACCAAGGGCGGGTTATAAATTTAAATAAATAAATAAAGGTAGGCTACTGAGTTCTTTTGGTCATCTTTGTAGTACTGTTCTGAAATTGTGTTAGGGGAGAGTGTACCTTCTTCCAGATACACCTCCTAACCTTTCAGTTCCAAACTGTATTAATGTCCAAGAGACAACATTCTAACATTGTGTTTCAGAGATTTCTTTAAACTATTTATGGCTTGCAATTATTCAGTATAATAGCCAATGATTCACATATATGAGGTTCAACTTTAAAATCTTGGGCAATTTTACTTAATAGATCTCATACTGAAGATATATAGCATTGCCTTTTATTTACATGTAGATACATACATTTCTCAGCGATCACAAAAAACAAAAGATTAAACCAGAACGTTACCTAAAAATATGCTGTAGAAAAGAGCAAGAATCCAGTAGCATCTTAAAGACAAACAAAATTTGTGGCAGGGATGAGCTTTTGTGAGTCCTTGCTCACTTCTTCAGATACCTGAATCCGATACCTGAATCTCGGTATCTGAAGAAGTGAGCAGTGACTCACAAAAGTTCATACTCTGCCACAAATTTTGTTTGTTTTTAAGGTACTCCTGGATTCTTGCTCTTTTCTACTGCTATAGACTTACAGCTACCCAACTTGATCTATACTAAAACCATACTGTTATTGATAAATTTATTCAATTTATGCTTTAGTTCTAGAGGGCAAAAAGGACATTTTTAGAAAAAAAATCCTTATCTTGAAATTATATGCAATTATGAATGTCCATGGTGTGACACTTTCATGCCTTGGGTGATAAAACAAGCTCATACATTCCCTGTTGTTGTCTGGTTTCTCTTGACTCGTTTAGGACATGTTCTAGAGCTCATCTGTGTGACGTAATAGGATTTGTGGGTGGGAGCCTATACTTGAATCTGGACAAAAATCTGTTTTCTGCTTCCACACAGATTAATTTGAATGCCATGGGAATTCTTTGTCTTACTAAGGTTATGGAGAAAGAGAGCAAGAGAAATTAGGGAGCCTTTCCAATAGACCCATTAATAGCATGCTTTCATGCTGACAGAGCAAAGTGTGTGACTCTCTTGTGTCTCCCCCACCCCCGCCCAGTATCTTCGAAAGTACTCAAAGGATGGTAACACAAGACGGTCATGCTGAGTTTCCCAAGGGCCGACTCAACACATGTGTTGAACAAATGCTCAGCATTTGCAGCAGTATGTCAGAGCAGATATATGTCAAACACATGCTCAGGGTCACATATGCAAGGACGTCATCTTGAACACACATCTACACACTCATTAACAGCCTGATCCACTGCATACTGATGGTAAAGTAATTTGAGTTCAGCCTTCTCTGCCTCAGTGAGATTGATGAGACTGAAATGGATTTTTTTTAAAGTATTTTGAGCTGGGTAATAGATTATGATATTCTATTGCGCACAAAGAGGCCCTGATATCCTCCTCATAAAGACTGTGCCTTGGACATTTGCTTCAAAATCAGCACACTGGTTACAGAACAACTTACTGAAAAATATTCAGCATGTTTCTAATTGGTGCCCTCTTGTTTCCCTAGCTGTGGCTCCTGAGTGACATTTTCATCTTCATCCTCACAGTCCTTCTCCACATTTACCAACAATGCCATTTAATCCAACAGGCTATTGCAGTGCAACACATGTGACATCATCACATCAGAAGTACAATCATGGCAGTGACAAAATCACATGGGTTACCACAGCCAATAGGAATGACAAGAGGGGGCCTGCAAGACTTGCAGGGAGGGGGAATCTTCTTCCCCCTTTACCTGCTGAAGCATCTTGGTTCCCTTCCAAACAACACCCCCCCCGGGGTCATTGAGCCTGGAATGGCATCAGGCTTCTGTAGCCTCTGGGCTTGGAGTGGCTCCTGGACAACCCCACTGTGAAAGCTAGGCCTGGAGTGGCTCTTGGAGGCTGTTGTAGCCAAGACAGACAATGGTATTGTTTGGGGAGGATTTAAAACCCACACCCCTTTTTTAGTTTTAGATTTGGGTCTTTTGACCCACTGCCTTGACTCTTTTGCTGATTTTTTTCAATAATCTATATCGGACGGAGAAGCCACGAGTGGAGGATATTAATTCGTTCCCGGCCTCGAGTCTATCTAAGCGCCTCTCAGAAGACCACACATCTTTAATGGAACAACCAATTTCTTTGCAAGAACTCCTTGATACCATTAAAGCTTCGAAGATAAATAAATCCACTGGCCCAGATGGGATCCTGTCTGAATTTTATAAGACATTTCACTCCTTGTTAGCGGAGTACCTGCTTAGTACATGTAATGAGGCCATGCAAACAGGCAATATTCCATCATCCTGGATAGACTCTAACACAGTGGTTCTACCGAAGGACAACAAGGACCCCACGGACCCTTCCTCCTACCGGCCTATTGCATTACTTAATCACGATGCAAAAATTTTCACATCTATCTTAGCGAACAGACTTAAATCATTCATCGCCAATTATGTCAAGAAAGATCAAACGGGGTTCATTCCTGGAAGACAACTTTCGGAAAATGTGAGAAGGACTTTTAGTATCATACTGTATGGTCGGAGAAGAAAGATCGATTTGGTAATTTTGGCTTTGGACTTCACCAAAGCTTTCGATTCGGTGGAAATACCGTTCAAATGTACCTGCACCAGTGTTGAAAATCATTAAGCACAGGAGATCCTTTCCAACACTCATGAAAACAAATCCAAACAAGATAAGTACTCGATAACAAGTACTTAATGTAAGATAAGAACTTGTGGGCACTCAGTGAAATTGCTGAGCAGTCAGGTTAGAACAGATAAAAGGAAGTACTTCTTCACCCAAAGAGTGATTAACACATGGAATTCACTGCCACAGGAGGTGGTGGCGGCTACAAACATGGATGGCTTCAAGAGGGAATTGGATAAACATATGGAGCAGAGGTCCATCAGTGGCTATTAGCTACAAGGTATAGATAGGAACTCTTGGTCTGTGGCAAGTGATTCTCTGTATTCTTGGTGCTGGGGGGGCACAGTGGGAGGGCTTCTAGTGACACCTTATGGCACCTGTTATTTTTGGCCACTGTGTGACAGAGTGTTGGACTGAATTGGCCTGATCCAACATTGGCTTCTCTTATATTCTTAAGTAGGAAGGCTGAATAGATGGTTGCAACATTCTGGGAAACTTACAATGGGCGCTGTCTTGTTTATGTGTTTATTATTTCATGTTTGGTTTTTTAAACTCTGTTTTGGCAGGTTTTAGACATTTGTATAACACTGCTGTTGACTTATTGTGTTTCTCTTAATAAAAAAATAAATATTAAAAAAGTAGGAAGGCTAGACCACACCCATCCAATGCAAGTTAAGGGAGTATATGCATTTCAGGATCAGAAGCTACAATGGGGAACCAAGAAACGTGAGTAATTACTAAACATGCTCCAGTTCTGAACAAGTTTACTATGGCATTGCTTTCCTGCTTTCACTCTAATACATTCCATTCATTTATATGGAACTGATGTGCCCTTTCCCTGAAAAGTAAAACCCAGTTATGGTTATCCATGCCCTGACACATCCAGATTAGATTAATGCAATATGCCATATGTAGGACTGCCTGTGAAACTGTGCGGACACTTCAAATAGCACAAAATGTGGCAGCAAGATAATTTGATGATCACGTCATGCCAGTCTTAAAAGAACTATGTTGGTTGATAATTTGCTTCTGGGCACAACTCAAAGTACCGCTTATTAATCTTAAAGCCCTAAATGATTCAGGACCATGTATCCTCATCCACTTCTACCCATCAGTCAAAACCTGTACCAGAAGCCCTGTTCTATGTGCTGTTGCCTTCTAAGATTAAGTGGTTGGCAACCAGAGATAAGACCTGCTTTGTGGTGGTACAACAGTTGTGAAATGCCACCCCTCAGGAACTTGCCTGCCACCTAGTTTTCAAACTTTTTTAAATTTTGTTTTAATGTTTATTAAGGTCAAATATAACATGTGGGTGTGTTCTTTTTAAAGTCCTAGTTTTCATATTGACCTATTGGTTTATCAGCTGCATTGTTTTATCATTTGACTGCCGCACTGTTCCTTATGTTTTATCACTTTTCTCCTAAGGTGTTTATAGTAATAGATGACATTTACACTTTTAATGACTGACATTGTTTTAATTACTGTTGGCAGCCTCCTTGAATATTTTGTACACCAGAACAGTTAATAACATATATTATATCATTTTTATTTTACCATTTAACTATGAAAAAGGAGAAGAATCTGGATGTACCTACCATATATGCAAGCAATTAATAAGCACTGGGGAACTTATTTTTAATATACATTTAAAAATCAACAAAAACTGTACCTCATCTATTTCTCTACCTCTGGCAGTCACTATATGCCAGGATTTCTTTATGCCTAGGCAGAACTACCATATATGTAAACAACCACCATTGTCCTCTCAATAATTTCCAGCATTAAGAGTCTAGGTACTTATTATTTTATGTAATTTAAGTTTAATGTATCATCTTGTGGTGCAGCTGAAACAATTTTGTCTTAAATTAGTACAAAATGAGAAAAAAATCCAAATGTAATTTCCATACATTAAATTAATATATTTCCCAAGGTTTTGTTTGAACTGATAAACTTTAAACTTGCTCCACATCACAATAAAATCTTTATAAGATCTTAAATAAAACTAACTTGTTTTTTGCTTGTTTGTTCCACATATAGATAGCAAAACTGGTAAAACTGATCACTTAATTTTGTTAAAACATCTACTTGCATTTGTAAAAATTTGAACCATATTGCAGACTAGTCATTTTATTTTTGGCATCCAACATACCAACTAGAGATCTTTCTGAACGAATTGTCTCTGAATTGATACCAAGTCTTAAGCAAGGTGCTTACATGGTTTCTGATTAATCCCTTAAAAAGCTTGTAAATCAACAATTTAGTCTTCACCTGCTTTTTGCATACCATTCAGCAATTCCATTATCCATTATAGGCAATTTGCATGTTACTGCAGTCGCTGCAGGGGGGCGGGAATGGAACTTTCTGGCCTTTTTAATATAGTGTAGTTTAAGAAAGAAAACCAGATCCATCCTTGCACCAAGTAGAACAGGAAGAAGTAAAACACAATGCAATGTGATATCTACCATGAAGCCTGAGATTTTGGATAAGGTTAGCCTCAGGTTAGCTACCTGCGTAGTCAGGGGTCATTTCCTGCAGGAGCGCACAGGAGCGGAGCTCTGGCAGTAAAGAGCCCAGGGGGCGGGCACATGCAACAAGCCCCACCCCCTGCTTCCAACAGCCCTCAGTCAGAGCAAGAAGCAGCCAGGTAAGTTGCAGAGCTCCCCCCCAGCCCCCCGGTCCAAAACAGTCCAGTGGCACCTTTAAGACCAAGTTTTAGCTAGCAATCCAAAACAATCCAGTGGAGCCTGAACGGTGGGTGTTGCCTTCTGACACACTTCTGGTAATGTCAGGGGGTGTGGTATATGCAAAGAAATTATGCTAATGGATATGCTAATGAGCTCCTGCACCTCCTTTTCTACGAAATTACCCCTGTGTTTAGTTAAACCTGTGTCTAGCCATTTGGACATGAGAAACTCTTGTGGTTTTGCCCATGTGTCTCAGCTTTTCTATTATCATTTTAAAAGACATCAGCAAGGAACAATAACATTAAAAACCATTTTTTGCTGCTGATGGAGTGGATCTAAAAGTACCTTGCTGCTTCTTTTATAGTTACCTTTCTCATACAGAGCAATACGCCTCACTTAGCAGAATGGAGTCGCTAGATCTAGCTCATGATGCTTTTGTAACAACTTGTTAATCTCTGGACAGGTGGCAAATAAATGCTCTAAATCAATTATAAATGTACAGATCGAGCAGTATTATAGAGGAGGAGGAGGAGGAGGAGGAGGAGGAGGAGAGTTGGCTTTATGCCCTACCCTTCACTTGGAGTCTCAGAGTGGCTTACAATCTCCTTCCCTTCCTCTCCTCACAACAGTCAACCTGTGAGGTAAGTGGGGCTGAGAGAGTTCTTTCGAGAACTGCTCATGAGAGAACAGCTCTGACAGAACTGTGCCTGACCCAAGTTCACCCAGCTGGCTGAATGTAGAGGAGTGGGGAATCAACCCCGGTTCTCCAGATTAGCGTCTGCCACTCTTAACCACCACAACAAAGTAGCTCGGATTGCATGGGCCAAGGGATCAGATTGGTCTATGTCCCCCCCCTCCTCTACCCTTTTTTGCTTCTTGATTTACAGCCCATTGACTTAGAAGAGTGTTGACTCTGCTAGGATGGCACTACTAATCAAGAATATGTGAGTTAGTTGCAAGTAAAGCTACCAGTTCTCACCTGACCACCTTACTGCCATTCCTAATGACCTGCATGTCCACCATGCAGCCAGCAGATACATATGAAGCCAGGTTCAGTTCTGAAAACTCTGCCTGTAATGGAAGATAAAAGAACAGTAAAGACAGCTGATAACAGAAAACACAAAAAATGCACTGGCCTATTTGCAGGTTAGTTTTTCAAATTGAATGTTTGTCTCAAGTTAAGATTTCCAGGAGGCAGCAGCAAGTCTAATTACTGCCAATTTGCACAGGAAACACTCATTAAGTGTTTATGGTCCAACATTAAGGCAGCATGAGGACTCTGGATTAGTCTTATTCCAGTAATAAATACAAGAGGAATTAAGTGGTCAGAATGAAATCCTAAGGGAACATCATCTGAATGGGACTTAAATTCCTGTTTGGAAAACTTCATGTGGATTTATGTTTGGAATCGGCTGTTGTGCCACTGGCCGGCTATAAACTTTAACACTGGAGATTTGTGCTGGCATTAGTAGCCAAAAGCCTCATTATGTTTCAAGAAGAGGAACCCTTATGAAAAGGTTTAGCTGTTGAAGATTTAATGATTTCAGGCTTAGAGAAACTGGACAGCCTACAATTCAGTTATTTCATTATTTAAAAGTAATCCCCTCCCCTTTTTAGCATGAGAAGAAGGAAAGCATTAACATACTAGTTATGTATTAGGACCATAAAGCATTTTTTTTACTTCAGAGAAGATGTTAGTAAAAGTAAGAACACACGTACTATTGCAACAGTGGAGGACATGGCGTGATAGTGCTGTCACTGGCCTGTGAGCAGACATATACTTTCTGTCTTATGGTAACCTCTGAACTAAAAGGTCTATAGGACTGCCTTAGGGGTCTGTCATGGGCCCTGTATTGTTCAACATCTTTATAAATGACTTGGATGAAGGAATAGAAGGTTTGCTCATTAAATTTGCAGATGATACTAAATTGGGAGGGGTAGCAAAGACAGTAGAAGGCAGAATCAAGATTCAGGCTGGAAAATTGGGCTAAAACTAACAAAATGATTTTCAACAGACACAAATGTAAAGTTCTGCATTTAGGTAGGGGGAAAAATCAAATGCATAATTATAGGATGGGGAGTGGGGATGGGGATGGGGAGTAGGGGGGGGATCCCACAATTTTTAGGGCTGTTCCTAGATGCCAGACAGCTGGTCGACGGGGGGGGGGAGCCCTACCCCAACTCTTGAAAACAGCGGGTGCTGCGAGCACCTGCCCTACAAGCGACAAGATCGCTACTTGTAAGGCAAGCATATGCGGCACCCATTCTTTTAAAGCAGGGGCTGCCCACGCCTGCCCTACAAGCAGCGAGATCGCAAGGCAAGTGTAAGCAGCTCCCACTTCAAAAGAATGGGTGCCACACGTGCTTGCCCTATAAGCGGTGATCTTGCTGCTTGCAGGGCAGGTGCATGAGGCACCCACTCCTTTGAAGCAGGGGCCGCTTGTGCCTGCCCTGCAAACAGCAAACTCACTGCTTGCAGGGCAGGCATGGGTGGTCCCTGCTTTCCTCCAACCATTTAAAAGGAAGGTTCCCTTTAAATGATTGGAGGGAAGTGGGGGGGGGATGCGCACACAGTGTTGCGTCCCTGATGCAGTGATGTCACTGTGTGATGTCATGGCATTGGGACGGCATTGGGATCCCTTCCAGCTCTATGTTTCCATGTTTCTATATATGAGGATACTGACAGTGTGGTTTCATAGAATTAGCTCTATACTACTAGCTTCAGCAGTCAGTTAAGGAAATCACACTTATAAACAACTCCAATGACTGTACATTGAACAGAGGTAGCAAGAGAATGGGATTGTGTCAGCAACCTCCCCTCTGACCCCAGGTGCTTTCAACTGAAGGTTGGAATTGGCCCTCTGCGTGAACAAACTATACACGTGTCGTTTTTTCTGTACAAAAAATGTAACAACTTATTCTTTTTTTACAGAATTTGAGGGTTTTGTTTTTAATAAAATGACAATGTCATGCAGATCAGAGAAAGGCATATAAAGGATAATTATTTTAGTCAGAAATTGTTTATTTTTGTTACAGAATGCTAATAATAAGTTTCAGATGCTCTACATTCTATTTTAATACTTTGAAAAAGGATTTACCTGTTCTTCCCTCTTTTGTGTCTTATACGCATTTGATTAAAATCTGACAATATTTGTACTACAGAACCTTTTTAAAAAATACATTCTCTTCTATTTTGTTTAGTGCTCCCTAATGGCAATTTGAATTTGTAATTTCTAGATTACGTGACTGCCTTGAATCTAGAATGCTTATATTCACAGGGATTCTTCACAGTAGGAGAAAAATGGTTTTGCCTTTTCTGTGTACTTGTTCTGTCCACAAACCATATTTCAAATTTTGCATGAATGTGTCCAGCTGAGAGTTCAGGAAGCTACCACACAAGGATGCCATAAGAGAGTAATTTTTCCAAAAAGAGTTGAGAATGATAATGACAGAACTACTATTATTTATGGTATATCATTTGCACACACACAGAGCAAACTGGTTTGCAAATTCTGAAAGCACTGAAAAACCTGTTTGACCAGAAATAACAAAATCACATGAGCACATATGGACAACAATGCCTTTGGCATACCTCTCCAACTATCTTCACCTTTCTTCCTGTTTACAGCTTAGAAGTAGCCAAACATCTTTACTCTTTTATTTGATAATGTCAGACTGCAAGCAAGAAAGGGGACAGTGATATGGGGCTAAAAATCTTTTGTGGGAAATTTTCCAAACTGGAAAGTTTTCCAGAAAAAATCGCAATGTTATATTTTCCAGTGGAATTTTTTTTCTGCCCCACATCTGTAAATATAGTCTGTTTATCTATAGTTGTCAAGGCTGCTGTGTTGCAAATCAATCATGTTAAATGGGCTAAAAGTTAGGCTATGAAGCATGGACAAACCTCAGTACTTTTGCTAACATTATTTAAATTCTGCTATCAATATTTAAATATGAAAATTATTTATTTAAATTGGAAAATGTTCCAGAAAACCAACATCACTAGAAGGGATCAAGGCTGAAAAGTTGATTGTTAGTATGTTTTGTTTCCCTTATTTGATCCATAGCCTCACCCTAGGGTTACCATATTTAGAAAAGCAAAAAAGAGGACATACTTCCTGACTGACTACTTCAAACAAGTGATCACTATGACAAATTTCATTTTAAAAAGCCCTACTATTTCAGCTGTGATAATTGCTACTAACTAGGAATATTCCTAACCTTCTAACTCCAAAAGAGGACATTCTCATCAGTTTTTTTAAAAAAAGAACCCAAAAGAAGAGAGACACCAGAAAAGGAGGACATCTGGTAACCCTATCTCACCCTCAATTGCAATTTGCAATACAATTAAAAAAACTATAATCTTACCTAATTTCTCTACACAGAAAACAATGATTTGGCTCCAATCCTCCCCTAGAAGCCTGTTCTGTTCAAGGAGAAGTTCTGTGATTCCCCATCCACAGCCTGCCCCCCTTGTGATAACCCATGCTATTCTTGAGGCTCTCCCAACCTCTAGGAGCTGCTTTTCAGGCATGCAGCGGGCTGTTGTAGTAGGAAGGAACATGCAGAAAGGTTTCATTCTTTGAGCAGAGTCCTGCTCTCAGTTCTTAGGATTTGATCCAAATATTTATGTGATACGCTCTCATTTTAGAGAGGTGTTGAGGTTCACACCTGCTTGGTAGTCTTTCAGCATGGAAACATTGCTGGGAGGGGAGTTATTTTCCCATTTTTGTGTTCCAAGTGGAGTATTCTGTGGACATTGAGCAACAAAAACAGGGAATACCCCCCTCCCCCGCACTGTATCTATACTGGAAAATGGCCTGGGGAACCTGGACCCAGCTCCTTAGAAAACTGAGCAAGTAGTTTGTCCCTTAGTGATAGGAGAATGGCATTCTACACTTCCTCTAGTAAATACTTAAAAAAACCCTTTGTATTCCTGTAATGTATTGAAACGTTTACATGAATCACCTCATAGGGCTCCTATGTTAAGCTTCGAGCCATACCAGGGCTCCTCTGAGCGAACTTCCTATTGGTCGCTTCGTAACAGCGACCAATCAGAACATACCATTCCCTAGGAGGGAAAGACTCCCATTGGTCCTTAACTAAGCAATCTCATTGGTTGTTAATTGTAAATAGGCATGGCTACATTAGCCCGGTTATGTTTAAAAGGAGCATAAGCTCCCACTGTTTTCTGTTCTGGTTTCTTACTGAGTTGAGTGCTTGTTCGTTACTTCCAATAAAGCTGAATCACTTGCTGAATCACTCTAAGAGTCCTTTGTTAGTGCGATCTAACAATTGGCGACGAGGATGGGATGTTAGAGCAGGTAGGCAGCCCTGCGGACATCCACACTTCGGACTCGGAAGAAAGCGGGCAAAGCACAGCAGCCGATCCGGCGGAGGCGCCACCAGCTCCGGTGCCCAAGTCTCCCACGATGGCTGGAAGCCAGAAGTTCGAGTGCTTCGAACCCTCCTCAGAAGACTGGGACTCCTACCTATCCAGGTTCGAGTTCCATCTGGAAACGCATGACATTACCGACGAGGCGAAGAAACGAGCATGCCTCCTGAGTTCCTGCGGGAAGGGAACCTTCGACATAGCCAGGTCGTTGATGGCCCCAACGGATATGAAAACTGTCTCCTACGCTGACATCACAGAGAAGCTTAAGGCCCATTTTTCTCCACAACCGTCGGAGATCGCCTGCCGGCACGCT